AAAATATATCCTTGATTTAAAGCTACATCAGACAAGACAGATTGCAGAAACCGTGTCGGAATCGACAAGATTAGTGTGTTCCATTTTCATTGTCTTCATTCCGATTTCGGCGTTCAGTTTATTCATAGGGCTCAAGCTGATGTTCTTTGATGGATTGAAAAAACGGCAGCCATGATGGCGGTTAATTTCGCAACTGTAAAACTGGTTAGCTTTAAAAGCTGTTAGGGTAAGTGAATTTATAGCTGACTGTTTGGAGCTGACCATCCTTCAGACTTCACCTTTAGGCACATTCCTCAACTCATCCAGTCAACCATACACTCGATGGATGCGCACTACCGACGGGCTCTAGTAAGAGTGAAACTCAAGGCTAACGTTTCCGAGTGTATGGTTGACTGAAAGAGCTGAGGAATGTGCGTGAAGGTGAAGACTGACAGATGATCAGTTTCCATTAATCAATATCAACTATCCTACTCTACTGCTCACAAGTAGCTGTAAGTTAAATGTGAATTTGTGGTTGTTGACTTTTGAATCGCTGCACCAGAATTGTGTTGGGGAGAGAGCAAATTATGACAAATTACCGCAATCATGATATCTGTTTGTTAGTTTGACCGCACAGAAGTTGCATTTAACCGCTGTTGTTCACTCATTCATCGGTTGACTTCGGTGCTATCTCACCTGCAAGGAAGCGCTTCTGACTGCCGAAGAAGTAGTCTGTCTCAACCGACTAGTTAAGCAATAGGTCGCCAGTCCAAGAAACATAGTACAAGTGTAGTATCTGAAGTAGGCACAGATGGCGAACGCAACGCAGACACTGATTCGTACTGGCACACTAGCACGACGGTATCCCACGTAACCGAGAAGCAAGAAATAGACCGTAAAAGCAGTGGTTCGTTTATTGGAAGAGATCAAGAGGATTGAATAACACGTGCAAAAGAAGTTTATTGGTTATACGAGTATCCACCAATCGCGTGCTCGTATTCTTGACGTCATACAGCTTCAGTCTGAACAGCACGACTTCTGATTGGTCGGCACGAAATGTGTTGGCGCTTGGCTGGCGTCATTTCGAAGGGTTCAGTCCCCACAACTGTCAAGAAACTGCAACGCGTCGCTCCTTGGCTGGCGGTATCCCGTAGGCCAGGATCACCACAAAAAGCCAGCTACCAAAACCTTTTGCACATGTGATAGCATCCGAATACTGCATGTTATACACCGGACTCGTGGATATTGGGCAGACGGTAGCGGAAACTAGCACACAAAGGTGCAGATCTCACATTCTCGTGCTCACGATCAAGCGTTTATGCAATGGCAAAACGTCCTCTTCTTATGGTAACTCTGGTGTCTTCCGAGGAGCCATTTTGTCTCCTTTTTCCCTGTACACAAGCAACCTCTCTGTCCCTTCCAATTTTATTACCTGTAAGTATGCGGACGATGTGGTAATTGGATACCCCTCCAATACTGATGCATCTCTCCACCAACTTCAAGACAGTCTGAACGACGTTTTTAGTTGGTCTCTACCCCGNCTCATACTTAATGTTTCCAAATGTGTTGACGTTCTCTTCACCCTTAAATCTGGCTCCCGTTGTCAAACTATCTTTATTGATTTACCGTCATTAGGTCACAGCATTCCCAAAGCTAACTCTGTGAAATACCTCGTAATCGTTCTATCCCACAAGCTCTCTTGGATCTTACATGTAGAGAACGTTTATAACAGGGTTCGTAAACTTTCTTTTTATGCTTCCAGGCGCAGGAAGCTTGCTGTTCCCCTATACGTAATTTTCAAATTTGTGGTAGCACACATCTTTCCTCATTGGATTTACTGTTCCCTGTATATTTCCCCGGCCTAAAACAAGATTTCATATTCATTTCTAGGTCCATAAAACTTCTATCTCGATGTAGTGATATAGTTTACTCGTTGATTTTATTGTGTGCAAACATATCAACGCATGTGAAAGAATGGCCGACAGAATCTTGGACAACGAACTTATTAAATCCATGTCAACCCCCCGTACCCGCACCCACTACAGGCTCCTTCCCGCACGCACCGTCACATACAGAAACAGCATCCTCCCTTTTCTTACTCGCGTTTTAGTAAATGAGGCACCAATTATTATAGGTTTTGTTGAACATCTCATGAATTCGTTTATTCATTCATTTCTAATCCATCTTTATCCTCTTCTGGCTCGCAGTTTGCTGTCGTTTTTGTTTACCCTGTCCACACTCTGATGCGATCCCCCCTCCGTTTTCACTGTTTTATTCGTGAAAAATTGCTGAAAATTCACCCCTTAGAGTGCATAAAGCTTATTTTGACTTAGTAGCGAGCCATACAAGTCCTTCCGCTTCACGTATGACAGACGATTGGACGAAAATGCGCTGAATTCTGTCTGTGCATCGACCCCATTATTACTAAGGCTCGTCTCTTTGATCTGCAAGATACCGCTCGCACAAGACAATGTCTTAAATTGACACCACGGTACCTTAAAATTTATAGTGTGGGGCTCTTAATTGAACCAGACGCTCTACACATTATTAACTTGTTCAATGAGCATCAAGTCCAGAGGAGCTGTTGTACATTCATCGAGTCATTGTTCACCAATATTTCTCTTCAAAGAAAGAACCGAGCCACATAACTGTTCTATTTATGCTCACTATCCTATATATGCTATAAATTCACAAGGAGGTACACACACACACATACAGGACAGTAAATGGAACGGTCCACTATTAGATGCGCATTCTCGTGGTTACTGAACAAATAATTCGCTGCAATAGGTCTTGTTCATTTTTGAAAGAAACCACCAGTCGCATCCTTTTGCGAACAACTATTCACAAATGTGAGTAGTACCTCACAACACTAGAACTACACTTTATTCAAAAGTGGTACTAGACTGTTGTCTCGGGGTGCATAGACCCAAAAACTAATAAGATTCATTGCTTCTCGCTCAATTTCGCCAACATGTAGATGAATATTTTGAAGGTGATTAGTGTCGAACACAAACGGTTGTCTAGTATGGTTTCGCTATACGATGATGATGATGAGTATGCTTTTCATAAACAGTTCAGGCTTCAGCATTATACATCGAAACTTTTCGTAGCGGACCCTTCACTGAAGAAATGTTTTTTATTATGGGTTTGAGAGTCCGTGTGATAAATTCCAATCTACCAGGATAAAAAGAAACCCTCTGTTCAATATCTCCATTTATTGTGGTACAAAATTAGTTGAGTTTGAAGCTTTTAATGAAATCACTTAGTTCCTGAGTATATCATGAAAACCCATACTTGACACTCATTTGTCCCCATACAGAATGATAATTCAGTCACGAATCGCTCGCACGCATTCATTACGAAGCTATCCTCAATTGAAATGGAACCGTCCCAAACGTGTGAATAACAAGGACAAAGAGAGAAAACGAATTTGTCTAATCACGGATGCGTTCAGCAGACCTAAAGCGCACTCGTGCACTAAGACTAATCATCGAATAAACCAGACAAACCGGACAAACGACTAAGATTGAACAGGCACAGTGTTGTAGCTGNGTAGCTGTCCAGTCGGCAATCAAGCAGAAGCATTGCACAGATAGAATCCCGAACCCGCATCGAGATTTGCTGTCTCATCCGTGTCTCGGTGTCTGTCACAGCTATCTTGGGAAAGGTTTGCAATAAATAAATATGAGAATATGTTATCTAACTCTCCAATTTCAGAGCTGATTTGATAAGGTTAGGATAGTGGCTAACTACTTTCTTGTTTCTTCAGCCATTACTTACGAGAGGATCTGTTTCTATTTGGTGACCATGATAGAAGATTTATCTGTTAGGACGTTTTGTTCATCGATTGCGTAACAAGAAGTTCACATCAGCCGGTGAGGTATTAAGAATATCAAATCCCCTCTTTGATACTTCAAGGTGAGTAGCGATAGGAAACCAGTAACTTTACCTGTCGCCTCCGAAAGCCTCAGTATTGTCGGGGGTGAGTGTCTTGGATTGTGGATGGTCACCCTTCCGTCACACCTCGTGAAACGCTCCCAGAAGACCAAGCGTCTCAAATAGACTCTGCTGAAGAAGCCCCACTCGCTACCTTCTCGTGATGAAGGCGTTTTCCCACCAAAATGAGGGGACAAAAAGTCGACCTCCGGGACTATAACCGGGTCGATGGACCACTGGTAGTTCACCCAAGGGAAGTTGGCCAAAAGCCCTGATTCCGAACCAATCAAGAAGCGTACGGACAGCACACCCACACCCTCCCGGTCGTGGCAGTGGTCACCGGCTCGATTGGGTATCGAGGTGTATTGGGCACCTTTGAACATTTGACCCCGTCCAAGGGGGGTTTGATCCGATGAACTGGACACTGGAGACCAATGGATTGCGCTTTTCGCACACTGCCCCGCTCACTTGCGAGTCGGGCTGTGGTTGTGAACTGCCCAAGAAAATTCACTTGCCTTGACTTGGGCAACTTGGTAGTATTTCACCCACAAGCCAATCATGGACCTGCTTTCTTTTCATAAAGATAGTTGCACCATGATTTGTTTGGCTCATAGTCTGAACTGAGACGTGTGAAATATACTGTCCATTCTTCGCCATAGCCCCAGTTTCGTAACAGCCCATCCCGCACGATTTATTCCAAGCTGTTTCTCATGAAAAGCACAAACAAATCGGCAGTTCGGTATATCTCGCTTTTTCATTCGAACAGATAAACGTATAACGATGGACAATCACAGACGTATTCTGTGCGAGCCAAAACATTACCGGTCGAGGGTAAGTGGAAAATAAATTGTGTCATACAACCTGCCGAGTATGGTGGCTACTCAGAACCCCGGTTCACATCGAACCAGTACCAGACCAATATCAATTTGGTCACCAGATTGTGCAATTGTTTGTACAAAATGCTTTATGGCGATAGGGGATAAGAAACACTGGAGGTGAGCTGGACTCTTGCGCAGATGAGAACAGGCGGTTGGCGTGAAAGTAGTAAGATTATGGCTGGACGAACTACATGATAATTCGGTTCAACCAAGAAACTTTCGTGCAGTTCGCAAAAGTTTGTCCGCGTCGGCCTGACGAAAATAGGCAGTATCGTGATTGGACAAGAGATTCTGTTGCATATCGCGAATGTTTGCCTCCAGTAGGCGTCGCAAATCCCGTTTCTGTTTGTTCAACTCCTGTTCGGATAAGTGAAAGAAGGCAGAAAATAAACAACAAGGCATGACAAACTGAAACTACAAAATAACTCATGTATAGTTGATAAACACTGTGCAGAGAATTGGCAAAACCACTTAAGAACGAAAAAAAATACGTGGACAGATAGTTAGGGAGATTTCACGGACACACACTGTCTCTCTCTCTCTCTCGCATACTCACACACGTACATGGTAGACCAAAAGTACAAAAATCAACACCGGGCGATTATGATATCTAATTTAGGACCCTAGGCAGAGTCGATTGAGACGAAAATTAAGGAGAATGAATAATCTTTTCTATTTCGTTCAGTGCAAGCACAGAATCTGAAGGAAAGTAGAGTAAATTCAAATTCGTACGATTGTGTTCACAAGCATGTGATATTGTCCCTCAAATTGCAAGGTCCACGATTTGCTTTATTCCAAACCAGCAGACCACCACGGTCCATCGGTTGCGCCTCTAGTTCTGAACCTATAAATCTAGCCCCTACAATCTAAATGATCGGTTAATCATTCTTTGCAATGATTTTTGTGTTTGTACGTTATTCATATGTGTTCTTCAATCATTGGATCATACTCCAACGAATTAGGAGGTATTGAGATGTCATCAATACAGAAAGGAGGCAAATGTTGCCAGACATTAACACTTCGTTCAGTCTGAAAACACACATGTACACACATATATATATAGTACATGGGATTAATCAATTATGGTGACCGAATGTGTACAAGCATACAAAGGTTAATAAATTTGGAAATAGGTCAACTCCACAGTAAGTGGATTGATTGCATCAAGGAAATTTGTGCGCATAAGGTCTGGTGATGTAATCGGATAAGCAGTGCTTCACTCATTGCCAAGAGTTTATTTAGCATTGCGATTATGTAATGGTGTTTTGAAAGACGTTGAGATGACCAGGGTTCAAGGATTTGCAGCCTATCAAGCTCGGCTTTGGGTTGTCATTCCGTGCAGACGTTCGACATTTTTAGGTTACGATTTAACCGCGGATACCAATGCGAATGGAATAATATTCAATATTTCCATGACAGCTTGAGAAAACGAGTCGGTGAGCGAACAATCGTTTTCGGATATTCGCTTGCATACGATAAACGATGTCCAAAACTCTCTCCAGTTCGATCTTGTGTCCGGTGTCAACGAGATAACCCACGATCACGCTTGAGATACAGCCGGTTTTTCCCTGACTGTCCCATCGGTGGTGGTGCTCCTTAACGCGTTGAGACGAACGCCTTACCGTACAACCTATGTAACATGCGCCAAAGAGGCCCTTAAAAGATTAAATTATCATGGATGAGGTCAGTTTCGGCAGTTTGTCTTCCACTTGTATTCGTATCACTGGTGGTGTAGAGAACACTGGTCTAAGTTTGGCTGCGGGGAATGTGGAATTTATAAACGTAATCTGGTCCGGTGTTTAGCCTTCTGAGCCCGGAAGATTTGTTCAGCATACACATTGAATGAAGATCTACGCCTCATCCGCCCAACGCTGCAGGATAATGGTTATCCGGAAAAGTACATCGATAAGAATATTCGGCTCACTCTGGAGGAGAAAAACTGCATTTGTGTCCCCAGGAAATAATTGTTCATAAGGATCGCATTTGAAGGGGACTCATACACCGAGAGCCTAGTACAGTCACTGAGAACGACTGTAAATATCACGTTGCCCGCAGTCAAACTTAGACCAGTGTTCTCTACACCACCAGTGATGCGGATACAAGTGGAAGACAAACTGCCGAAACTGACCTCATCCATGATAATTTAATCTTTTAAGGGCCTCTTTGGCGCATGTTACATAGGTTGTACGGTAAGGCGTTCGTCTCAACGCGTTAAGGAGCACCACCACCGATGGGACAGTCAGGGAAAAACCGGCTGTATCTCAAGCGTGATCGTGGGTTATCTCGTTGACACCGGACACAAGATCGAACCGGAGAAAACTTTCGATATGGTTTATCACATCCTAATCAATCGATCGAGGGCGATCCGAGTTTGGACACTAGCTATGGCCGAGGCGATCGTGTGCTCCAACTGCCTTGGCTGGGTGTGAAAACCAAGACAGAAAATGACGCGTCACTTGACCCAAGCGGGGAAAGATCACATCAACTAACACACTAAACATTCTTAGACACACACATATATTCACATCCTCTACTCTCTACCTCTGATTAGTGACCTTAAATTGAGCCAATGACTATGATTATGTAACCATTTTTCCACTATATGATATGTAAGAGGATGACTAAGAATAACCGAAAAGAATCGACACGAATGGAACACTTGGCCTGTGGTCGAATGCACACTGATAGTGAACTCGGCACTTTGTCGAAGAAATTCCTCAATCCAGCCTAGGAGCAGCCGTCGAGCACCGAAATTCGCGGGATCGTTTTGGCAGTCGGCAAACTACCGTCTAGTCACACTTCTTCCTATTCCGTCAAAAGTAATGGAATCAACTATTGCAGATTCCCTGAAGGAGTACGTCAAGAAGTCTGATCCTCTGTTGCCAGACCAACATGGTGTCCGACAAATATACAATCATGCACCACAGTGAATACGTCTAGCTGACAAAAAGTGAGAAGGATCACGGAAAAAGCCGGTCATGGATCTGCGTCATGTCTGACAATGTCTCTGTCCATGGCACGCCACCAACATTAGGGTTCCAACCAGGGTCACAGAAGGACCAATCCGAACCAATGACATATCGTCCTCAACCTTTTATCCAAGTGACGCACTTCTCATCTGTTAATCTCCGTGTCTAGGACGGGCGAACAGAGATCTATCTGTCTGTATCGTTATCACTTGATTGGTCCACACGGACAGCTTTTACGCACGCACGCGGTACCGCCTTAGTCGATTTGTTTCGGCCAATCAAAATTTAGCATCGAGCTATGTAGGCTGTCTAATTCGTTGTTCGCTGGACCGCACCCCGGTTACAAATGACGCCCAGTGTTGCTGTTTGGTTAACACGCCTGTGTACAATAGGGCGATAAATCATAACCTGATAAAGCGAGCTACTTACCCCTCTTTGTGACCTTCCCGGAATGATAGGCTATCGGTGCTATCGAAATGCACGCAAAACCGCAGCCTGACGATCAGGGGACAATCATGCCATATCTCATATGACCGTCTAACCCTAGTTATCACCACTTCACAATAACTGATCGCAGCATCATCCGAGATTCATTTACACGTTTTCCTATCAAGCTTTAGCCAAAACTTGCAGTTCTTCAGCCTTGACCTACAATCCTTTAGCTCGACCGGCATTCCTTTAGTCCAAAACCAGTTATGCGTTTGCCACACCCCGTAGTTCTGCAGCCTCGACGCACAAACGTTAGAAAGTGAGTCAAATAAAATAAGTGTCGAAATCTAGTCTGAGGTCCACGAATGCTAAAACAAGATACTTGATACAAATGTTGATATTGCAAAGCTTGGTTAAGAAATGACAAGGTATGGCGGTCGTATGCTGCACCCCATGGTGATTGGAGAAGGTTCAAGCGATTTGCCCGTGTCGTCGAACCATTTGGCACATCGGTTACAGCTTCAATGTTCCCGTGTTACATGCGATACTCCCGTAAGACCCGCAAGTGTAACACAAACGGTACATTGTTTAGCATCCACAAGGCCTGACATGAACCAAAAGGCGATACAAATGAAAAAACGTACGCTTTGGTGCCTTATCTTCACGTAAAGTGAATTCCGTTTTTGAAAGGTGGACATATTAACAGTCCGATGATAATGAATACTGTACACAAAAGAACCCCGCTTTAGCACACCGTTTCCCATCAAGCTTTAGACGAAACCCGAAATGCTTGAGTCTCAACCGTCGTAATTATATCAAATGTTACAAAGTTACCAAACTGATGATATTACAGCAGGTGTACTTTTGTGAATGGTGTTCATTATCCTCAACATGTTTATGTATCCATTCTTCATATACAGAGTTCACTTTAGGTGGAGATACGGAAGGATATGCATTTACTTTTTCGTGGTGTCACCTTCGTGATTTATTTCAGGATTTGTAAATGCAAAACAATATACCATTCTTACCACATTTGAGATTTTTATTTACAGAAGTATCGCATAGTATACGGAAACACTGAAGCTGTACGAGAGGTCAAATGGTCTACCGAATGGGGCACGTCATTTAAACCTTTCCCAATCACTGTATAATGTAGTATACGATCGCCACACCATCTCAATTCTTAACCAAGCTCTAGAACATCAACATTTGCGTTAAATACATTTTTTGAACATTCGTGGACCTCAGAGTACATTTCGATATTTTTTTTATCTGTCTCGCTTACAGCGTTATGACTAAAGTTTGGGCGTTGAGGCTAAAGGTTTTGGTTAAAGCTTAATGGGAAAAGGTGTAGTTTTATTTTTCTATGTTTAAACAAATATCATATTTTGATGATTAAGGACTGAGGCCTTTTAAAGGGATTCAAGAAGACAAAATAATTGAATCAAATAGGCTGGTGGATAGTGACGCACAACTTCCGGGTCGATAAAATGGCGTTCTATACACGGTGATTAACACAATATGATCACCGAAATCGGGTTTTGTATGCATATTTTGAAAGACAACAGTTTGGGCTACATATCAAGGTGTGAGAGTTGAAGGCAATGAAATCAATGAGTGGATTCGGCCTTGGTAATGGAGGTTTTTACTGATTATTAAACAGAAAAAACTCGGGGCATATGTATTGTTACCCATGGTAACATTTGATATCTTGAATGATTTGGGAAAGCCCGATATGATTTTCAACAACAGTTTTGGAGGACATTGCACGGTACTTCGGGAATCCCTCAGTAACGAAGACTGTCAGTAGAGAAGCGTGGTGATCCAGACTTCCGTGACCGCAATCCATGCACGACCAGGTACAGTTTTATGTCATCCAATCACTGTTCAGGAAGCAAGACCAATGGTACACCGGGTGCACAGGACATCCGAGTTAGTACATATGATGCGTCGGTGCAAACGGTTACGTGATTGGAGGATGCTCGTTCAACCAATCATATGGAGTATTACATTCTATAAAACATGATCTAATTCCATCAATAAACATAAGCATTTGCTGCTATCAATTCCTCGTGTATTTCACTGGTGTCCGCAGTTCGGGTTCGAGCCAATTCAGTTCTGAGCAGCACATTACGGGTTCTCGTATTCCCACATTCAGTAGTATTCTGATCACCACAAGAAGCCAGACAGGGGCTTTTGACTCAGGCATTTCATTGGTAAGACAATGAGTGATAAATGGGATACGAGAATATGATCCAAGGTTTCACAAAGAACGTTCACTAGACCTTCCACACGAATCTATCAAGATACGCCTGTTTTGCGTTGGTTGACCTGCTATTGTCAAGACCAGCTGGTAATCCCATGGATTCAAAGAAGGAGAGAACACAGAACAAACTTCCACGGTTCAGGTCGATACCATAACTTGACTGCTGGGTGTCTAGTTGTCCCGAATCATGCACTAATGAGCTCCTCGGATCGCCGATACTTCAAATCTTGACTGTAAAACACGGGGTTCAAATTAAACCTTCAGATCTAAGTAGTAAAATGATAAGATATCTTCTATCTTGTTCCTCAAGGCCTTCAATAGCCTGATTGCATGATGTTTTTGTTACCTTAGTCCAGAAAAAGTCTGCCTGATTTCTTCATTACACACCACAATAGAGCAGTAACCCTCAAGCGATTCAAAGTACGAAATATTACTGGTACACGTTCGCAGTAGATTTCCAAACCGAGAGTTTATCCCCAACAACTGATTATGAGAACAAAACACTTGAACACACAACGTCTTATTTTGTCATTGTTGACCCGCTCGCTTCAGTTCAGCTGATTCAAACTCCTAGAGGTATCGACGATCGAAACCTTCCAATCAAGGGAAATTTTCCACAATCAAACTCAGTCAGCAGGCTGTGAAGCAGAACTGACTGCCCTGCATCTCAGTATTCGCAACCGGTCATTCATTCACGGTAACACATTTAGTCGAAACTACGGGATTCGTCAGTTCGATGAAAGTTGTTTGAGTCGCTTGGATTTGATCGGTTACATTTTCACTGTGTAACGGTCAATCGTCAAGCAACTGCTAGATACGATAAACAAATTTGGCCATAAAACATCTAAACGGGGTTGTACGGCACAGTTCTGTCGCACCAATTTGCACTTCATACGCATCCTGGAAGGAGCAGAGGCGTGGTGATCGTGCAACGAGTACGCAAACACCACGGTACAGTATCCAGGTGACCATTCAGGAAACGGATTCACCGACCAATCATGGAAGTTCAAGTGGCAACAACCGGATTGGCTGAAGGCAAGAAAACAACCGAATGAGCCATATCGTTGTCGATTGGACATTTAAGAATCGACCGATGATTGTTGGATGCTTGTGATATTTATTTAGGTGATTTTCTTAACAGAATCAACTATATCCACAGCTCGTCTTGGTTCAACCTGATTTTGCGCTATTCAGTGGGTTTTCAGTCCGATTCCGAGTTCATGCTATTCGATTCCGCTTCCTGTTCTGAATACTACGAGAAGCCTTCGCAAATCCATCAATTGCCTCTAAAACATAATCAATACATCCAAACATGAGCTTTTTCAGACTGCACAGCTTTCCTCTAGCTAGTCGCTTCAACACAGAGCTTATTTAGTCTAACAGAGCACCTTTAAAAACACTAGTGCCACTGCCACTACTGTACTGAAAACATAAATGACAAAAATGTAGATTTTGACCAGTTGGCATATTTTTGCGCTAGACTAAACAGTTGGTGTGTGATTCGACGGATGTTCAGTTGTCTTTATTGCCTGAATAGAGTGGCAACTCCGACTCAGTGATTTCATATATTCCTATGCGGGTGAAAAAGTACATGGAATTCAACACTATCAAACACACCATCACAACATCTCAAATTATCTGGTAGAAACCGAACACAGGTTTACATTTCCAACTCAAACGTGTACGCTGCTGGACAATGCCATCGTTTGCAGATGTTAGGTAGAAGCGCGAGGTTTGACCAAATACGGTCGAAAGACAGATCAATCGACACAAAAACCATCAATATGATTTCTATGCCATTAAAAAAGCAACGCGAGAGAGGTGTCAACCAGTAATATAAAGACGACATATTCACTTACTATTTGTTCCTGACGCGTTCGAGCAATCTGTTCTTCTCGTTCACGTCGAAGTGATTCGTTCAATAGATCCATTCGTACCCGGTGTCTACGATTCGAGGAGAAGGTTAAAGACGATGGTAGTACAAAGTTGGAGAAGAGTAAACCATACTTGATTTTGGAAAGCCGTATGATGATGCTAAGTATCCTACTCATGGACATTACACCTTCCGCCAAGGGGGGATAACCAGACCGTGTAGTTAGCAATGGAAATCTCTCCCGAAAGTACCCGAACTTGGCTTTTTCGATTACTGAAATCCTCGGTCGGGGTGGGTTTCTAAGTTTGCGGCTGGTCACTCCTTCCTTGCACCTCACGAAATAATTCCCCACAACCAAGCGTCTCAAACAACCTCCAGTGAAGAAGACCTACACACTGTCTTATCGTGGCGGCGGTGTTTTCCCATCAAAGTAAGAGGACGAAAAGCCAACATTGGGGTTGTAAACAGATTGGTGAATCACTAGCAGTTCACCCCGAGGGGAGTTGGGTAAAAAAACCCAACGAACCACACAGCTTCCTGTTGCAGCCGCGGTAACCGGCTCAATTGGGCACCTTAGACGTTGGACCCCGTCCAAAGGGTGATTGATTCGATGAACTGGGAACCGGGCACCAATGGATGGGGCTTTGGCTAGTCGGAAGCACTGGTTGTGAATTTTCCCCGAAAATTCACCTGTCTTGGCCTGGGCAACCTGGCATTATTACGCCCACAAGCTAATCACGGAACATTTTTCATCTCATGAAGATTATTGTACGATGATTTATTTGACACACAATGTGGCCTCAGATGTGTGTGAAATACAAATACATACTAAGATACAGAGGGGACAGATTGTGGATTCAGAGGCGTCACACTTTTAGGGACAACTAGAGGTGATAATTTTAAGATTAAACGGCGTCAATGGTTTACCTGTGTATTTTATTTTTATGTATGCGGATGATATAACCTTGAACAAAGATATCATTGCCAAACTTAATTGCATGGCCTTCCCGGAACGCAGTGGGCTTTCCCTCAATTTAATTTTACCTTAGTCTAAAAGGAAACAAGTGGCTCAACAGCTTTGAGATTCTATCCTTGTAACTGACTCCTTACTCACTACCTCTACATACATACATATTTCAGTTCAGTTTTCACAACCATTAACCATGCACTTTCGTGAGCCAGTTGTGGTTGCTGTCTTTTGGTGCCCCATTTAGATAAGCGAACAGGATGAAGATTGGAATGTTGAAATCAAATTTAAGTGGCGGATGGAGAATTCACCCAGTGGTGTTAGGAGAATAATGAGTAGATGCTCAGCTCAACTGTTCGTGACACCCAACCATATCACTCAGCGTCTCGAACCATCGGTGACCATCGAGGTCCCCAGTCAGCGCCTAACAGGGCCTATCTGACCTAGTCTACTGGGTAGGGTTTTCATACCCTGATGCCAGGTCTTAGCTTGGCCACCCCTTAACCCTTTTCCAACCGCTACCTGCCTCGGCAAACATCGCTCGCCGTGGCAACCCATTTCGTGACATGCGTAACATATGCCCCAACCAACGTAATCTATGGTGGCCGATCACTTACTCCAGTGGGCGACAGCGGTTGTCTAAAACTCTACACCTAACCTCAGCATTTCCAGTTCGGTTATCCCACCAGACTCGTGTAATGCGACGTAGACAGCGATGTTCGAACATCGACAATCTACTTTTAGCCTGTTCCCTTAATGCTCAAATCTCTGCACTGTAAAGCAGAACTGGCCGAACTGCCGCAGCATACACTCGACCCTTTACAGACAGCCGGATGTCGCGACGGCGTCACAGATGTCTCAAGTTGGTAAATGCCAACCGAGCCTTCTGTATGCGAGCTGACACTTCATCCGTGATACGTCCATTGAGTGAGATGTTGCTGCCCAGATAGCAAAACTTGTCCACTTTCTCTACTACTCCCTCAGTTAGAGTGAGTCTGGGTGCTGGACCAACCCAGTCTTGTAGTAGCATTTTACACTTTGGAGGTGCAAAACGCATACCGAACATGGCTACACTAGCACTCACACTATCCAGAAAAGCTTGTAACTTACTTGGATCTTCACTCACTAGCACAATGTCGTCTGCATACTCTAGATTAGACAGCCTGACACCTGGGAGTAAAGCGACACCGCTATTCGCGCACGAGGATCGGGAGGGTTTCAAGAATTAAATATATCACGAAGTTAAATAGAAACGGAGAGAATGAACGACCCTGTCGAACACTACTTTCCGTGGTGAACTTGGGTGAAAAAGTGCCGTAAGCTCGAATTCGGCTTCGGCTATCAGTATAAAGCGATTGTAATATAGGATAATCCCTACGAATGCAAGCCAAATTTTGACGTGCGGATGTGCAAACAGTATAGCATAGTGTAAGTGACTTCGATTGCAAAAATTCTGATCCAAAAAAGGATACGAATGTTCCAAGCCGGACAACGTCTGTTCACGTAACTGTTCAATTTTCTGTTTTTCTTCCCGTTCCAATTGTTGTAGTGCCAACAAATTTTCCCGTTCTCGAGCCAAAAGATTGTCAAAGAAACGTCGAAATACCTGAACGCGACAATAATCATTAGTTCAACGAGGATGAAACTGATTGATTGGAATTTCGCGACAACAGAATACGAAATGGGACAAGTAGGAACGGGGAAGTGGTTGAATAAGACAAACAATTCATTGGATCATGTACAAAGACAGGCATGAAATTATATGCTGGTTGTCATACCCTTTAGGTTGTCTCTTTACTACGCACTCACTCCAGATACACTGTATTCTCGTTTAGTACTGCATTGATGTTTCTCGTCTGTTTTCTCCACATGCTATTATCACTTTAATACTCGACTGCGCCTGGCTCCTTGGAAAGGATAAGCCGGCTGCAGACATGATCATGAAGTTCCCTGGGAGTTTGGTATGAAAGACGTCCCTAGGAGCCACTCGGCTTTCTTGTATTTTGAGGGCACACCTCGAGCCGTTGCACAACCAAGCGTGAATTGCAAGGCAGAAGGAAGTAACCCCTCGCCTCAGAGGTGAGCGGGTGGTCAATGACTTTAGTTTTTAAAAGCCCAGTCACATCGACCTTTGTCCGGAAACCGTCATTGGGCTTATGTGGCTTTTGAACAGGAGCCAGGTGAACAGCCTGAAACCCATCTCACTCTGGTAGTGCAACCGTTGTATGTTCGCGACTGCTTATTTGTTGCGGTATGTCACAACTTATTCACAGTTAACCTTCTTCGGTGAAACTATCCCCCCCACTCCTCTCCTGTTATTCACAACCCGGGGACGTTCCTGGTAGCATTCAGCTGTGCTTCACCCGAGGGTATCCAAATGTTAAAATTGTATTTATTCCATTTTGGCCACCAGTATGCGCCTGAATCTAGACCAGAGGTTCAGAGCCAATTGGATAAGATTACTCGTTCATTCTGCATGTGTATTGATTTTCCGAATATGAACCAATTTGACTGCTATCGTTCTTGTTGGCACACAAACCAGCTTTCAGCTGGAGTGATTATGCAATCCCAATATTGTGCGTCTTGTCTCTATAATCGGTTGGTTTTTGACCGATCACGAATTCAAAATAAAATCGAACGATCCAAACACAAAGCTCAGGTTTTAGTGTGCTGAAAGTGTTGCGAGTTGCACTGAAATTGAGTTGGTTTGTTTGAAATTAAAGTATACATTACAGCTCTGTGTGTGAAATTTGTTTTTGTCTGGGATACAACATACGTATTATTAGTGTTATGATTGTTTAAATTGTGAAAGCTCAGTAGCCTCGGGATTTGGACACACACACAATGACGCCACCTACGCTTGTATCACTCATCCTTTCACATTTGGATTACCCAACCAACTAACAGAAGCATATAGAATTCATCCAAGTGGCAAAACTCGAGACAACTACGCCCTCAGTGGAAATTTCCTCGCTGGAACGAGTTCGCCGATGAACCGGTTCATACTCGCATTCGCGCCTCAGCATGGAGATCGGTGTCTTGATGTATCTTATAAGGGACTGGCTCTCTTACCCGACCGACCGAACTCAGACACCGTCGGTTTCGTTCACCTTCTCCTGAGGCTTACTTAACCAGTTTCATTTTGCACAACCATAAACTATGCACTTTCGTGCGCCGAATTTGGTCGCTGTCTTTTGGCCACACATTTGAATGAAGCAGTGGGAGAAAGACAAGAAAGTTGAAAGTAGAGTCGAAGAGAAAATGGAGAATCCCAGTAGATAATGGCAGAACGTAAGCATGCTACCCATTGGGCCAACGCGCAGCTGATCAGACTGGTGGCCGAGTGGGTAGCATGCTTGCGTTCTGTCTGTAAGGTCCCGAGTACGATGGATTTGCACTGTTGATGAGACCCAACCAAGTCGAAAGAGTTGCTTCCTAGCTTTTCGGTTCACGCTTCATTTGCTCTATACACAACGAATTCCCTCTATGAAATTGAATAAAATCCTCTATTACGCTCATGAAATCAATTAAAGATCTTTAACGCGAAATTTCAAATTCTTGGCTTTCAATAAAAAAAAAATGAGAGCGCAAATAGTCATTATTAGCGAGGCAAAATTATCATATCCGTTGAGGCT